GCCAGGCCCCCGTCGGCCCGGCCGCTAGGGTGTGGCACCTCCGCGAAAAGCACGCCAGGGCGCCAAACCCACCGCGAAGAAGGGGACCCGTCTTGCACCCCACGTTCCCACGCCCGCGATTTGAAGCAACTGCCGCGCAGCGTCCAGAAGCCCCGCCCCGGCCTCTCACCCCGCGGCCTCCGGTCTGTAACAGAAACAACGCTGTCACCTCTCACTTCCTCCCAGCGGGACCAATCAGGACTTCCGTCACCCTGGAGGCCCGCCCCCTTCTCGCTTTCAGTTCCTTAAAGAGACAGGAGTGCGATTTCTAAAGGATAAGCCTGGACGATTTAATTTCTGGGTGGGTGGAGTGGGCGTATATCTTAGCATAACGTGCAGATGTGCCCAATATTTTCTACCTTTGTTCTCTCTTGTTTTTCCCCCCATTTTTACGAAAGCCAACTCAAGTCCAGATAATTCATAAGATTTTTTTTTTTTTTTTTTTTTTTTAATCTGGATAAGGAAAAAGGCTGCATTGAGAAATACACATGCTCTTATGCCTACTGCTAGGACTGAATGAAATTGGTGCCAATAATGCCGCAGAGATTTTCCAAACGTTTCTTTTATTTAAAAAAAAAACAAACAGAACGAACAAAAACCACTACCACAATTACCGACAAGAAGAGCAAAAACCAAAGTATGTTGAAGGGCCAGCCCCTCAAAGGCACTCAGGAGGCAACCAATGCCCTAGAGACACAGTAATTGATAAACTGGGAAAACGCACGAAAGCACAAATCACAGCTCTTAAGAACTTTGACCCTTGGTCTAAACTGGACCACAGCGGTGCCTCGGTTTCTAATGTGATCCGTTCGCGAAGCCCGACCAAGTTTTGAAACCTTGGGAAACCGAGGGGTCCACAGTGCAGCTGGGCCTCAGCATTGTGCCCTCAGCGGGCACAGGACAGCCACTTCCGGTACACTGGAGAACCCAAGCATTTCCTTCCGGGTTGACGGCCTTCCTAACCGGAAATGCTCCTCCCGGAGGCGCTGGAAACCGAGGTAGCTGTGTACTGCTGTGTACTCGAGCCGTCTAAGTGATAACCACGTGCGACAGAGCCGGGCGCGGGCAACACTCAGTGTGGATGTTTAATGCTCAGTCTCCGGCACCTGAAAAGTTACCCTTGTAGTTAACCTTACCATCTCACCTGGAATGTATGAGGCCCATCCTGCTGCCCGGAGAATTTTGGAGTTCAGTGTAAAAGAAAGAGCCGTCCTCTCCTCTTTCCCTTTCCTCGGGCTCCAGCGAGGGCCCCACGCCTGCCGTTGAAGCCCAGCCCTTCCCAGCGCCCGCCCGGCGGCACCAGCTGGTCCCGCGTGGCTGCCACCCCACACTCTCCTTCTCACCCCCCTCAATTGTTCTTTTGTTAACTGTTGTCCTCTAGGACACTGGCCTGCGTGCGTCATGAATATTTAGTAGAGGCCCTCGGTGAGCCTTCCGTTGGATACTCGGCCTATTTTAGTAGACGGGTGTGGAGGGAGCAGGGAAAGGAGGGAGAGGCGTGTCAGCAATTCCTTTATTAAAGGCTTATTATCGGCGGGTCCCACTCGGGCTTCACCTCAGCAACTGGAATCGCGTGATACGTAAGTAGATGAACGACCGCGGGAGGGAGCGAGGCATCACGGACGGCAGAGGGCGCTCGAGCAGCCGGCGAGGGGAGGGCCTGGGTGGGCGGCGGGAGAGTAACGGGAAGAGGGGGAGGGGAGGCAGACGGAGCGCCCGGGCAGCGCGCGGGGCGGCCGCCCCGGCCCCCAGCGGTGGCTAGCTCAGTGGGGAAGCGGGGTTCTGCTGACGCTTGGAAGGGACGCTTCTTTCTTGGGGAGGCCGCCCTGTCCATTGCAGTATGCTCAGCAGCGCCCCTGGCCCCTCTCCAATAGATGCCAGTAGCACCCCTCTCCCCAGTGGTAACAAATGGCCAGCACCAGACGCCCCCGGGTGGAGAGGAGAAACAAAACTGCCCCTGGTTGTGAACCGCGGGGACAGTGTAAGCAAGTAGAGTTTAATAAGATTTGACAGCTTTACGCCCGCGTTCCCGCGGCACCGACTGCAGATGTGGCTTGAAGAATTATGTGCTGAAGGAAATCCAGGAGCAGTTGGGGTGGTAGGATGTGTGTGTGTGTGTTTCAATCTCAGGTGCAGAACTGAACTAATTATGCTCCTTGGTTTTTAGTACAGCATCATCAGTGCCTTCAAGACACCATTCTGTTGTACTTTTTTCCTTAATACCTATTTCGCCTCGGTTCCTCTCCTCCAGAAAGCAATCACCACGATATGTAAATTTATATAGTTGATCCTTAAACAATTGGGGTTTGAACTGCTTGGGTCTGCTTCTATGTGGATTTTTTTCAATACATATACAGTCAGCTCTCAGCATCCCCGGGTTTAGTATCCGCAGATTCAATCAACTGCAGAACGAAAATAGTACAGTGGTACCTCGATTTTCGAACGTCTCCGTGGACAAACGTTTCGGTTTATGAAGGCCATAAACCTGGAAGTAAATGCTTTGGTTTTCGAACACGCCTTGGAAGTCGAGCATGCCACATGGCTTCCACTGAGGGCAAGATCCTGAGGCCCAGCTGTGGGCTGTGGATCCCTCGGTTTTCCAATGTTTCAGAACTCGAACGGTCTTCCGGAACGGATCACATTAGAAAACCAAGGTACCACTGTATTTTTGCTCCTCGGTTGGGAATGTGCAGATGCAGCGGGTCAGCTATATTCATTGTTCTACCTACACCATTTTATATGAGGGACTTGAGCTTCTGTGGATTTTGGTATGTGTAGGAATTCCTGGAACCAACCTCCCAAGAACACTAAGAGAGGTACTTTCTTGGTATTCTATAGTTAAGTTTTCGGAGATTTAAAAATTATAGGATAATTTCCCA